ATATATAAAATGAAAGCGTCATAGGACGAGAGCGCGCGCCAAACTTCGAAAGTTTAAAGGCTCTGCGACCGCGGCTCGGATTTCGCGCCACTTTTTTGAAACCCAGAGGCTTCCATGAGAAGGAAAGCGATCGGTAGCCATTAAAGCTACCCCTTCCCTTCAATCCAATTTCTAACCAACAACCCATTCGACGAATTGCCCCACCGAAATCCTCATCGGAAAGCGAGATGTACGTTGTGAAGAGGGACGGGAGACGGGAGGCGGTCCACTTCGACAAGATAACGGCGCGTTTGAAGAAGCTGAGCTATGGTTTGAACACCGATCACTGCGATCCCGTGCTTGTTGCGCAGAAGGTTTGCCTTGGGGTCTACAAGGGTGTTACTACCAGTCAACTAGATGAGCTCGCCGCGGAGACAGCTGCTGCTATGACGGCCAATCACCCGGATTACGCGTCGGTAAGAGATCGAAGATATGGTTGAGGTCCATTTTTTTTCTACGGGTTCTGTGTTTGGATTCTAATTTTCTGTTTCTTTTTCTATCAGCTGGCGGCAAGGATTGCTGTTTCTAATCTGCACAAGAATACTAAGAAGTTGTTCTCAGAGACGTAATGGATTTTTTTTTTTTTATCTTACTTTTCACATTTAATCTGTTCCTTGTTTTCCTATTTCAGTAACATGTTTTGTTATCTTCTGATTCATTTGAGTTTTATGATTGCAGCATCAAAGAATTGTATAATCATATTAATGAGAAAACAGGGCAGAAGGCACCGTTGATTTCCGATGATGTTTATGAGATAGTGATGAAGGTACCCCAAAAAAAAAACATCGAATTTTTTCTTTTTTTTTTGCGTACATTTCTACTGTTTCATATAGCAGATGGAATTCCTTTTAGAATTTATATTTGGATATCAGTATGAAAGTCTATAATTGTAGGGATTCTTTTGCACTGACCTCACTGTAAAATTTGCGTTGATATGAATTTATTATATTGATTTATGTCAGTATTTCCTCGCAGTAAATCTGTCGTGCGAATATGAATTAATATTTATTCTTTTTCTTTTTGTTCCATCTTCATGATTTATTCATCTGCTTCATTTTTATTAGAAGATATATCCTAAAAAAAAAGATTTAGTGAATTTATATAAGTTAAAGCCCTGTTCAAATAACTTTTTTGTAAATCATATCTGAACTATATAGCTGACCAATTCTTAAATTTTCTTGAATCTGTGCATAGACCTATTATAGATCAGCAATAAGATCCGATCACTTTGCATAAGATGTCTAAATAATTGGTTACGATTTTTAAATGCAAGTTAGATGAATACATGTTTTGTTTGCCCCCCTCTTTCCTAGGGAAACAAAAATGAATTGTCCTCTCTACAATTCAATGCATGTTGCTTCAATCCGTGCTTGCCTTGGTTGAGCATTTGATATTTATTTTGAATGATTTGCTATTTTTATGAACATGGAATTTAAATTCCTTTTTTTCATTATATATACTGATTATATTTCATTGATTATGGCGTTTGAAATAATAATAATAATAATTTTCTCGCTTTTTTTGGACGGCTTAGTGGCTGACTTTGGTTAAATTCCTTTGATAATGGATTCTTACTGCAAAATTTAAATTTTTGCAGTTTCTGGATCATATATAACTTTCTCCTTTACTAAATCTAATTCCTACACCCCATAACTTCTCATGTGTCCTCTGCATCCCAACTCCAAGAAAACCAAACAAAAACTCTTAGCATCTGTCCACCAAAAAAGCCCTAAACCCTAAACTAAATCTCTGGGTTTTTTCATTATTCCCATCTAATAATCTCCGGCATACCCTCATTTTGCTTCACATATAATTTGCACCATAAAACTCTTGCCAACCCCCACTCTTTGAAGAAAATTTAAACCCTAGTTTCGCTCTTGTGCTCTTCCTATATGTAGATCCTTAGCTACCTTGATAACCACTTCTACTCAAACACCACAACACCAAATTAACTCTAATCACATCACCTCCCACCATCACCATGAATTGTTTGGTTTTAAGATAGAAGATATGGGAGATTTAAAGAGATTTAGAAAGTCTTTTTGAAGAAAAATCTCTTAAATTTTGGTTTATTAGGGTTTAAATTTTGGATTTAATTTTTTTATTTTTTTTTTCTTTTAGGCATATTTTCCTTGAATTTTTACTTCTGAAGGTCTTCAGAATTTACTAAATCTTAATTTACAATATTTGCTAAATCCTAATTACCTAATTTTCTTGAAGGCTGAAGCCAATCCAACCCTTATTAAATCCCGTTAAAACCAAAATTTATTTAGATGGAATCTGCAAATTCTTTAAAGAATATTGAAGCTGGCAACCAAATAGTTCAAAGTTTGATCAGTTTTTTAGTTGTCATGCAAATGTGATACAAGATCTGATTTTTAGTAGGACGCTGTATTTTTGGTTGATTCCTGAGGTTTTTTTTCATTATAAAGTGGTATATGGCATGCCAACATTCACTGATAACTTGCATTTTTTTTTTTTAAAATTTCAGAATGCAGCTTGTTTGGACAGTGAAATTATATATGACAGGGATTTTGACTACGATTATTTTGGTTTCAAAACCCTCGAGCGATCCTACCTCTTGAAAGTTTCTGGGAAGGTCATCGAAAGGCCTCAACACATGTTGATGAGAGTTGCTGTTGGGATTCACAAAGATGATATTGTGTCTGCAATCAGAACATACCATTTGATGTCTCAGCGATGGTTTACTCACGCTTCTCCTACACTGTTCAATGCAGGCACTCCCAAGCCTCAGGTACCATAAATTAGGAGTGTAAACAAGTCGAGTCTTGCTCGAGCCACACTCATCTTGGACTTTAGCTAGATTAATTAATCAAGTTCGAGCTCAAGCTTAATTCTATGAGTTCGAGCCAGCTTTTTTGCTATGAAAGTGGGAACAATATTAATTCAAGCTGGCGTTATATTAAAGAAAAATTTACATGCATAGCATGCAATTATTGTGTATTTAAATGTCTCACACTTAAACCTTTATATTTACAAATATAACTCTTTGGTGCTTTACACTTCACATGAAAATGTTGATTTCACTTTTAGAAAGCGGTAAAAGTGCTATTTTTTATGTTATATTAAATATTTGAATGTTATGTGTGTAAATGTGAAAGTTGAGGTGTGAGATAAATTAATAAATAAGAATTGTGTGCTAAAATGACAAATAAAATGAATTAATAAAAAATAAATAATAAGAAATTATTTGATGTAAAATGTAAATTATTTTTTTAAATAATTTAAAGTTAAAATTTTGAATTTTAATATATTTTGAATATATTTTTTATTAATTATTTTTTAAATAAGCCGGCTCACAAGCTAATGAGTTGAGTTTGTGCTGAATTGAGTTGGGCTTGTTAGCTCAGTAAACTCAGCTCATGAGCAACTTATCATGCTGAGCTCGAGTCAGCTTGGCTCAGTCACACTCCTACCTTAAATACTTTATCCATTTAGTTTAATCCAAAATTTAGAGTATTTACTTTATTAAATCATATATTTACAGTTAAGCAGCTGCTTCTTGGTTTGCATGAAAGATGATAGCATTGATGGGATATATGATACACTGAAGGAGTGCGCAGTTATAAGCAAGTCTGCTGGAGGAATTGGTGTCTCTGTTCATAACATTCGTGCCACCGGAAGTTATATTCGTGGAACGAATGGAACATCGAATGGCATTGTTCCCATGTTGCGTGTTTTTAATGACACCGCTCGATATGTTGATCAAGGGGGTGGAAAGAGGAAAGGTGCTCTCTCTCACTCTCTCCCTCCTTGCCCACTTCTCTATTCCTCTTTTTTTGTTGGAAGATTTACATAAATACCACTCAATTCTTATGTATTTACATGTCTAACAACTACAATTTTTTACATTCATTCTGCCTTATCTATCCATGAAAAGTTGTATTTCACTTTTTAGAAGTTTCAATAATTGTATTTTTGTTATGATCTGAAAATTTTGGGCGTTATAAATGTAATAAGCAAAGCTTAGGCTTTTAATACGTAAATGCATAGAAATTGGGTGGTATGTATGCAAATGCGCCTTTATTGTTTTGCTAAACTTTCATCTAGTTAAATTTTGCTTGGTATCAGCAGTGACCGATATTTTTTGTATCTTTAGGTGCCTTTGCTGTCTATTTGGAGCCTTGGCATGCTGATGTTTTTGAGTTTCTTGATCTCAGAAAAAACCATGGGAAGGTAGGTTTTAGTTCCCTCATTCTTAGGTGTTCACAAAAATGTCTAATAAATCAAAGATTTTTTGCATTTTTTAATATGAGGGAAATCAGTACGATTTCTAGATTATACTTCTAAAAGATATTATTAACCTGTTTTAGTTTACAGTTAGTCTTTAATTTTTTTTATTTCATTTTGTATTTGTCAATATATGACTTCTCAAATCCCCATCTATTTTGAGTACATTTTGACAAAGTATGTTTTAAAAGAAAATGATGTTCAGTGCTTGTTTTGGGATTTAGATAGGTTAATGGTGATCATGGTATGGGTTTAACACTTTGTCTATAGGTTTATTAAGCATATATATGCTAATCATGGATTTGGTTTCTATAATTCCAAACAATTAATGCGCTTTGGATGGTCGGGATTGATTTTATTTACTTATTTTTTGAGAAAAGTGTCAAAATAATCTCCAGTCTTTTTGTAAAAATATCAATTTTGTCCAGTACTACTTTTAATAAAGGCTAAAATAGTTGTCTTTTAGGATTATTTCATCACATTGAAGAAGTTTGTGATTAATTTAACATTTCTATATATTTTGGGACTCAAATAATCACGACGAAGAGTCAAGTTTTTTTTGACAGTTCTTTCCTTTTTTTTATGTCATTATTTTTTAAAAACATTATCCAAGCCATCGAAAGTGAATTGGATGGTTGGGATTTGAAAATTTTGCCCTTTAATTAACGTATTAATTTATAGAATATGTGAATCCTGTAAGCACTTTTTCTAACCATGATCCTTCTGTCGGTTAATAATTTTAAAACTGGAATTTTTTTAAATCCATTTTTGACAGTATTTTCTTATTATAGTGATCTGAAATATTAAAATGCTACTGTAGGAGGAACATAGAGCCAGAGATCTTTTTTATGCCCTATGGATTCCCGATCTTTTCATGGAAAGAGTCCAAAGTAATGAGGAATGGTCATTATTCTGCCCAAACGAGGCTCCTGGTTTGGCTGATTGTTGGGGAGATGACTTTGTGAGACTGTATCTAAAATATGAGAAAGAGGTAATTATTGCTTAGTTTTGGTTGAAACTTTGATTTTTTACATTTAAACCAACTAAATGTTTCATACCACATAAAAAATACCACTATATTAACTTTTAAAAAGTGAAATACATATTTTCATGCATAGGTAATGTGACATTGATGTAAAAATTGAAGTATAGGTGTTAGATATGTAAATACATAAGATTTGAGTGTTATGGACGTTAATATTCCCAAGTTTTAAATCAACAATTATCCATTAATTTTTTGTGGGCACAAAATAATTGTCATTTGATTAATGCTGATAATTTATCCATTACTTCTTATGAATACCAGGGAAAAGCTAAGAAGGTTGTTCCTGCCCAGAACCTGTGGTTTGAGATTCTAAAGTCACAGATAGAAACTGGAACACCATTTATGCTCTTTAAGGTAAGAATTAAAATAGATGCTCTTTTATGTTTATGACCCTGTTTGGCATCAATTTTCTTTTTTGTTTTTGTTTCTTTTTTTTTTCTGTTGTTTTTAAAAATAATTTTTTTAGTGTTGTTTTTATATGTTTTTATTTTCTATTTTTTAAAAATAAATCAATTTATTTTTAAAAATACCCAAGATAACTTATGTGTGTTTTGACTGTTTTAAATTCAAATCAACTCATAAAAAAAATAAAAATGAAAAATAAAAAAAATAAAAAAAGTGTTCTCAAATGGCTCTCAAATTTTTATGCAATGCATCTAACCGTTTTACATATTCAGGATACCTGTAATAGAAAGAGCAATCAACAGAATTTAGGGACCATCAAATCATCAAACCTATGTACTGAGATTATTGAGTTTAGCAGTCCAACAGAAACTGCTGTGTGTAACCTCGCATCCATAGCTTTACCTCGTTTCGTTAGAGAGATGGTATGGTTGTGAGAAATTTTTCATAATCTTCCATAATTTGAACTCTCAGAAATTTTTTAAGAATTTTTTTCAATATTAATTGCAGGGTGTTTCATTGGAGTCCCATCCATCGAAGCTTGTAGGGAGCATTGGTTCAAAAAACAGATATTTTGATTTTAACAAGTTGGCTGAAGTGAGAATTACCAACTTCACATGTATTTATGTTGAGAGAAAAGTGTCAAAATGGTCTCCTAACTTTTTGTAGGCAGTCATCTTAGTCCCAGAGTTTATAAAAATGCCAATTTAGGCTCCGAAGCCTCTATTAAAAGAGTTTGGAGACTAATTGAGCATTTTTATAAACTCTGCGGTTAAAATAATTCCATTTAAATTGTTAGAGGACTATTTTGATGTTTTACATTTTTTGATGTTGATGATGCTGTGAACATGCTAAATATTTCTGTTCAGGTTTCTGCTATAGTTACAACAAACCTCAACAAGATTATAGATGTGAATTATTATCCAGTTGAGACAGCAAGGAATTCAAATCTTAGGCACAGGCCTATTGGAATTGGGGTTCAGGGTTTAGCTGATACGTTCATACTGCTTGGCATGCCTTTTGATTCACCAGAGGTCATTGATAATATTAAAAACATTGGGCATTTACATTCATACGAAACAATTGTTACATATTTACATATCTAACGCCTAAACATTCAAACTTACACTCATACGATGATTTCACTATCTTTTTGAAAGTGAAATCTGCATAAGGTTTTTGGCACCAAGATGTGTAAAAAATAAGACTTTGGGTGTTATATATATATAAATACATACACATTTTGTGGTCTGTATGTAAATTTCTTTAAAAAGATTTATCACGCTTGTTTTTCTGGTATGCTTCCTATTAATAATTAATAAAATGCTTACTTTGCCTGCAGGCTCAACAGCTGAACAAGGATATGTTTGAGACTATATATTACCATGCTCTAAAAGCTTCCGCAGAGCTAGCTGCAAAGGAAGGTCCATATGAAACATACGAAGGAAGTCCCATAAGCAAGGTTCGTGATGTGCTGCAAAAGTCTAATCATAAAGAAATTTTTATCTATATGTGGTTCAGTTTTCTTATTTCTTCATTTGTAGTAAATGTTCACATTTTTAAATTTCAGTTTATGCAATTGCATTCTAAACAATATTCATAATTGTAAAATTCCATCCTGTTTACTCAAGATGCAGTGTTCAAACTTAGTTCGTTTAAAATTATGGTTGTTTGAGGATGGTTTAAGCTCTGCCTATTAATGAACCGCAAGGTTAACTAAATAAGCAGCCCATTGAGATTAAAATTAGGATTTGGATTGAATAAATTTTTAATAAACATTGTCCTTTCTAGATGTAAGAAGAGATAGTAGGCTTAGTTCCCTTTGAAATTGCATTATCCTCACTTTAGAAATATACCTTAATGCCAAACTTGCTGCCATATAATTGAATTTTTTCTGGTTTGGATCCTATACCATCATACAAGCATTCAAATGTCCGTTATTGCTAGAATTATATGATCCTGTTACATGATTATTTCTTATTTACTTTTTGGCTCACTATTGCACCGAGAAACATGCCAAAATAGTCCCATGACTATTCTAGGGTTCTTTTAGTCCCAGAGTTTATAAAAAAAACATCAAATTTGTTGTCAAAATTTTTGATTTGGGGCTGAAATAATCCTCAGTGGGGCTATTTAGATTATATTAGAAGACTCTGGAAATTAAATTGGTATTTTCATAGACTTTGAGACTAAAATGATCCTCCTGCCAATAGTTAGGGGAGTATTTTCATATTTCTCTTATTACAATGTTTGTGCAGGGAATTCTACAACCCGACATGTGGAACGTGACCCCATCCGACCGATGGGATTGGCCTGCTTTGAGGCAATTGATATCCAAAAATGGAGTAAGAAATTCTCTACTTGTTGCACCCATGCCCACTGCTTCAACAAGCCAAATTCTAGGAAATAATGAGTGTTTTGAGCCATACACATCAAACATCTACAGTCGCAGAGTTTTGAGGTCTGTTGTTCAGCTTGTTTCTTTCATTGAAGCTTCAAAAACATTTTTTTAAGCAAAAATATGAATCATTACTTGCTTTGCAGCGGCGAATTCGTTGTGGTGAACAAACATCTCTTGCATGATCTGACGGAGATGAATCTTTGGTCCGCAACTCTCAAAAACAAAATACTATATGAGAACGGTTCCATTCTCAAGATTTCGGAAATTTCGGATCATCTTAAAGCAATTTATAAGTAAGGATGTATGCAACCATGCATTTACATACATACCACACAAATTGTATATATTTACATGCATATTCACATAAAAAATATCATCATTACCTTTTTAAAAGTGAAACACATCTTTTAGTGCATAGGTTTCTAACACCAAGGTGATATAAGTGCAAATGTTAAACTTTAGGTGTTAGATATGTAAACGCATAACAATTGTGTGGCATGAATATAAGATTTCCTTTTTATTTTTTTTACATATAACCCTTATTCTTGCCACATTTTCCATATTAGAACTGTATGGGAGATTAAGCAAAGAACTATAGTGGACATGGCTGTTGATCGAGGATGTTACATAGATCAAAGCCAAAGTTTGAACATTCATATAGAGCAACCTAATTTTGGGAAATTAACATCTCTGCACTTCCATGCTTGGTCCAAGGTATAGTTTTTATTAACAAATTCCCCACCTGTTTACATTTGGAACCCTAAATTTTACTTTTTTTTTGTAATAATATCAATCTTCAAGGGCCTTAAAACTGGAATGTATTATTTGCGCTCACGTGCTGCTGCCGATGCAATAAAGTTCACCGTTGATACCTCAACCCTAGAGGTATTATATCTCCACCATTCATGACACCAAAGCTTTATTAATGCAAATATCAAACATTATGTGGTATATATGCAAATTTCTCTTTCTAAATTCCTGCATTTTGAGACAAAGCAGGATAAAAATGCAGCCGAAAACCGAGATGTAGAAGCCAGTCTTGCCCAGGTGGCTTGCTCATTTGAAAACAAGGAAGCATGCGTGGCTTGTGGGAGTTGAAAAAGGGGACTCTTCTGGGTCTCATTTCAGGTTCTTCTTTCAGTTAATTTCCTGCTGGAGTTTGTGTGTTAACAAAGGCTTCATTGTTTTTAAAGTCCATGTGCTGTATATATAAGCTTATGAGTCCTTGTGGTTGTATTTTTTTTTTCCTTAATTCTGTCACAAACGCTTGAAATTATGCTATATTTTATTTAAAGAGTATAAATTTGAAGTGCATTTTAATTTTAAGTAGTTCTTATCTACTTCTCCTTGCTTATAGGGTTGTTAACAATTTGATTTTAAGCTGAGTCGGCTCAAAATTAAATCGAACTCAATCAAGCTCGAAACAGAACGAGTTGGCTCAAATTGAATTATTTGGGCTTGATCCGGCTCAAATTGAAACAAATTGTCTCTAATTGAGTTATTTGGATTTGTTCCACCTCAAAATCAGCTCGAAATTGACATGTGATTCATTATATTTTCACTTTTTTATAGCATTATATATATATATATATATATATATATATATAAGAAGAGTTGATCTTGCCAATTTGAGTTGATTCATGTGTGGCTTGAAATTTGATTAGAAAAAAATAAATGCAAAGTTTTGGCTAATAGCTTGACTTGTTTATTTCGATTCGATCTTGATATGAACCAAAATTCAAAGTAATTTTTGATCAAGTATCTTCGGGCTAAATTCACAACCTTAATTGCGTATGGAGGGATTCAATATCCCTTGAATTATCATGATGTTAAGTTTGGGATAAAGTGGTAAAATTTCCCTCATTCATTTCATTTTTTTTGATGAATTTTCTGGTATTTATATTTTATTTTGTTTATATTCTTATTTGAAGCAAAACCATGTTTTTGATATTAAGGTAATGATTGTTTAAAGGACGCCTTACACACATTATTATTTTGAATATTGCCATTAATTTGTTTTTGAAAATAGAAAGTAAAAATATATAAAAATTACAAGCAAATGTGTTTTTTAATAATATTTGATGCGTGTTAGAAAATTTATGGCGATAAAGTAACAGATTATCATCTTAGCGTTGTACGAGAATTTAGCACACACATAAATGAAAAAGAAATAAACTGTGAAGCTTTCAGAAGTTTTTATATAAAAAACCCAAATAGAGAAAAAATTACGGGGTTTAGCCCAGTTGTGAAAATCTATTATTGATTGATGATTACAGAAATCTTTTTACAGAAATCTTGTATCTTACAAACTGGAAAGAGTAATTATATTTTTTTAGATTACAGCGTCAATTGTCGGTTTATCTTACAAACTGGAAAGAGTAATTATATTTTTTAGATTATAGCGTCAATTGTCGGCGTCTGGTTGGTGGTGATTGACGACAGTTGGCGAAGGCCAACGGAGGTCGGCGACAGTAGTTGACGGTTGGCGATTGTCGTAGGTGGTCGACGGTGGTGGACGACGGTTGTGGTTGGCGACGGTAGGCGGTGGCTGACGGAGGTTGGTGGAGGTAGGTGATGGTTGACGGAGCTTGGCATAGGTCGGTGGAGGTTGACGGTGGTCGACGGCGATCAACAACGGTAGACGGTGGTTGAAGGAGGTTAGCGGTGGTCAACGACAATTGGCGGTTGTCGACGACGATTGATGGTGGTTGACGACTGTCCATGACGGCCGGCGGTGCTCAATGACGGTTGGCGGTAGTCATCGGATAGATAGTGGTCAACGACGGTCAGTGGTGGTGCTAGACATTAGCTTCTTCTCAAAGCTTCAAGTTTTCTTCCAAGGCTTGAGTTACCTTTCATATGAGACGTGGGGCGTGGAACTCTATTTATAGTGTTATGAGTGCAATTAATGCAAGAATATAAACCATTTTGATCGGATGGTCCGGAGAGTTTCCCTCGATCAGATGGGAGTGTCTTAACGATGTCAGAATTGAACAATCTTACGCTCATTCAATCTTACGCTCATTGGGTTTTGGGCTTGTTGGATTCGTCTTGTCGAGACGCTCGATTCGACTATGAACTCGTCAGATTTGACATTCGTTAGACCTTTTAAATGCATCCAAAAATCTTCCAAAAATGATTTAATCACTTGATTTGGGCTTGATTTGACACAGATTTGACTAACTTTGATATCATTAGGTTCGTCTCATCGAGTCGATTAGTTTGACTATAAATTTGTTAAAATCAAAGTTTTGTATTACTTTTTATCAAAACTTAAATATTTCTTGTTCAAAATATCATCTTGAAATCCGTGTCATGCCTCGAGATTCATGTCATGTGATTAAAATTTGTTTACGGCGTATCAATAATAAAAAAGAAATAAATAAAAAATAAGATTGAACATAAACAAACCCTAAATTTTAGATGTTAGATATATAAATACAAGAATTAGGAGATTTTCTGTAGCTTATTTCTTATATTCTATGTTTTAAAAAGTAACTTTTTAGAATGCCACAGTTGGAATTTTAATTACATATATATATATACATATATATTTTTCATCTTTTTCGTAACGTTAGATCATGTACAGTTTGAGAAATTTGAACATTTATTTCTTTTAAAAATTTTGCCCTCTAAGATTTTTAGATAATTTATACAAGATTTTTTTTTCTTAAAAAAGTTTAGATTACTCGTACTTTCTAAAACTATTCTCCTCTAAATGTTTTAGATAACCTACATCTCTTGAGGTTTTTATCTTAAAAGATTTTTAAATGACTAAAAACTTTTTCAACCATCTACTCACATATAGTCTCTTAGTGAAAATATTTTCCAATATTAATTTTCTTTCAACTTTTTCTCATAATCATGCATTCTAAGATTTAAAATAAACATATTTTATCTACCACTTACTTTCAAGAAATGGTTAAGTTGAAAAGCTATGATGCAATATTATTTATAAAAGAAGTGTGATGGTAATATTTAATACGAGATATATAAATAAAAATGAAATTAAAAAGTTAAATCCTTAATCATCTCTCGAAGAGGAAAAATTATTGCATACGGACACCGCATGCGATCCTGACCGTAAATCACGGTAATCTACGGTGAGTATGTATTTCAGTTTTTTTTTTAATTTTTTTTTGAAGTGGGGCCCACCAAAATACAACCTGACCGGGTCAGGATCAGAGACTGCTTGCATCTCTGCATGCGGTGTCCGTATGCAATAATTTTTCCTCGAAGAGAGACTATATCTTGATTTGGTAGAAGTTAGATGAAGAAGTTAATGTCCTTGGCCTGCATCAAAGATTTGCTAGATTTATTAGAGGTGGAATAAACGAGTTAATAATTAATCTCCTCTTATTTATATAATACCCTATTATATGTGAAACTTGACTTTTTTAAGTGAGAGATGGATGTGATGTTTATAAATATATATGATGGCAATTAATTCAACATTACAATATAAATTAAGTCAATATATATTAGAATAAGTTGGATTAGAAGAGATAATTATAAAAGTTTTTCTTCCATAGTGATTGGAAGAGTGATTGTACAAAGAAGCTTTATAGTATGCCCTTCAAAATCACAAATGTCATGCGCATAAGGTTAGAGCTTAACAAAATCACTATCATGATGAAGGGCTATGAGTTCATCTTAGTTATCTCTAACGTGCAATTCATTACAATGACCAGTTGTCTAAAATGCATTTGTTATGCACCTCTTGAATTTGTTTTGGGAAATGGGGCTTCAAAATAGGTAATAAAAAAAAAAAAAAGAGATTATGTTATCAAGTATCAAATGTTGATAAAATTCTAATTTCATAATATTTTAGTATCATATATATGTATGGTTTTAATACTAAGGACCACTAAATTCAATTTTTAATGGGCTTAAATAAAATGCCTTTTTGGAGGTTTATGATGGTTATAAATGAAAATGTTATCATAGTAATTTGATGAGTTCAAAATAAGCCAATTAAAGATTTTGATATTATGAAATGCATAAGATGTTTAAGGAACATTAAATAATTAAGGTTGATCAATTTGTACTTAGCGTTTCAATTTCTAGTAGAAATATTTAGAATTTCTCAAAAAATTAATAGTTATTTTTTTTACCTAATGATGTTGATTTTTTAGTATATATATATAGACACACACACACACCCCTACCTTTCATCATTGTTTGGAATGTAAAATGATTGTCTTTAGATTTTTGCAATTCCAAAGTTTTTGTTTTTCTTTTATTTTTGCCATATCTTTTGTCAAAATAAGTGTATAATCACAATCATCTCCGTTAGTCCCACCTCTTGAGCTTCACCTTATACTTATATGATAGAGATCCTTCATTTGACCTTAGGGCTACCGAGATCCCTGTGGATTATGAAATTCACTGATTGTTAACCGGGGATCTCTAGTCGTGTTGGGTTGATTACCTTTATGACCAGGTAGACTTAGGATTCTAGTGGCTTCGGATGAAGGGTCCGTGATACCCCGACCCGACAACCTCTACCTTCAAGAATTACTCTACCCTTCCTTTTGCAGAGCTCTTTTGAGCCCTATTGCTCCTTTGACTCCGTTGATATTATATTGACATCATGATTACCGATGAGCCGCAACCTGTTTGGGATACGGTGGCTCATCTTATGCCATGATGGTCCGGTGAGTGTTGAAGTATAGAGATATTCCCGTCAAGATGATTTTGGTTATTTCATAGATTATGTATATCAATGAAGCACTACCCATTTTGGATGTGAGGGAGTCACTCTCTACCTTATGACTAAGCGAGAGCTTCGAAAGCATCGGGGCATTCCCATATGAAATAATCATCCTTTGATGATATACTCCAATTTTATGATAATATAAGCAAAACTCATTTTATCTAAACTATTATTGGGTATTCCGTAAGATGTAATTAAGCAGAGGGATACATTCCTCTAGAAAACTCTTGACTCTAGAACAAAATTGTCTTTTTTTATTCTCTAATTACGTGTGAATTATGCAGAGATTCTCTTCATGGATATTGTGTTTTGAGGTACTTTAATATGAACCTATTCAGTGGTATATTCTTGACTCATCATATGAGAATTATCCATATATAAGCCTTCCTTTTGTTTTTTTATTCATTTGCCTGTTTGTTTTTATTTATTATTCTTTTTTATCCTCTCATCTTCGAATAATTGATATGATTTGGGATAAAGATTTATTCGAATAAGAGAATTATATGAAGATATATGAATAGACACGCTGACGATTTTTGTCTTAAAAAACAACTGAGAAAGCACACCCTACGATGA